TAGGCTAAAATTCCAGTAAAATGGCTATAACTCTGGATAGAAGATCTGCGGGGATTTATCCTTTTGGGGTTTTTCATACCTCACTGGGGTCTACCTTATGCACAGAGTCCGAACTCAAAAGCGACGGAGCAGTTGGTGGCCTTCCCTCGTCAATATCAGAAGTAATACCGGCTGGATAAGTTGTATTATCAGGATAATTAGTAGTGTGGAGAACGGGCGTATGTGCTAAGTCGCACAACCATTCATCTTCCCCTCCAGGAAGACAATCGATCTTATTGTTACATTGCCAGTTTCTTGGTATACATCTGTTTTTACACGGAAATTCAGCTCGTGAACAACATGGATTTAAATTATCTGTCCACGAACACAGGTGCTCGTCATCCTCAAGTGGACAGTCATTAATACTGTCACAAATCCAGCTAAGACGAATACATTCAGTACTGTTCCAACATTTATACTTGTTAATATCATTCAAGCAATAGTTTCTTCTCTCATCTGACGCGCCTAAACAATCGATTATGCTATCCGAAGCAATCAACTGCTAAACACGACATATTCGTTTGATTAAAACGCGCACAATAACGTTCATCTGATCGACATTGAGTTAGATTATAGGTAATTATCGATGCTGTGTGGTTGCAAGAAAATTCATCTCGTCCATCGGGACAATCGTTACAACCTGTCTCGTTCGTCTCATTATCCGTCGGGAAGCGACTCGTTGAGAGAACTCCATTACATATTTCTTGAAAAGTGAAGTATTCATCTGAGCCATCTACACAATCAGGTATGCTCATTGGCTCGTTAATAATTTTCTCGTTAATAACTGGAAAGGAAAGAAGACAATAGTATCGTGCTTATTTTCATATGATTCCACCTGTCCAACACAACATTTCATACACATGTGGTGAGTCTCTAGTATAGTGAGTGCGACAACAAACTTGCTCGTCTAACTTTGTTGTTAAACAAGGTTTTTGAGTATGTGAATGCAAAAAAATTGTCGCGTATTGACTTAGTTGTTGCGCACATATAGTATAATTGTTATCATGAGCGGATGCTTGTTAAGTTCATGCTTTACCTGGACACAAGTGAACATTGCTGTAGAAATGATTTTGTATTTTTAGATGAGTTTTTTTGACGAAACCGAATCTTCTCCAGTTACAGTATGTGAAGTCTTCTTCCAAGACAGAGAGCCAGAACTCCTGCAAGACACTCAACTAGTGGCAGTGTTGGGCGTTCTACGACAATTTGGTTCTCGTCTTCATCCACCGACGTCAGTAGGCGACCTTAAAAATACGAAGCTTATTTACCTGTACGAACATACATCAACGGGCGTACAACGTGGGCCTTTAGAAAAGGCACTCCAGGCCGCAAAAAGTCAAGCACCAAAACATGAATACACGCACGCAGTGTCAGTGAAATACACTTTAGGATAGCCAATCCGCTCATTTGTAAAGTATTTCTTTTTGGAAAACGGATCGATAAATAAATAAACAGAAATGTAAAGAAAAGATGACAATTAATTGTATATAATTTCGAGACGTATTGAGATGATCTCCCACAAATTTAATTTCGACCTGCTCAATACGAGTGAGATTTCTCACGCGCCATGGTCTCACAGTGGGCATTTAGGCGGCATTTTCTGAAAAAATCGTAGGTACGAAATTTTCTGTTTTGAATAGCGGTATATATAGTGTAAACAATGCCCTATTTAACAGTGAAAAATTTTTTGTTCTAGCTGCT